AAGGCTTGTGTCGCTTAAGTTTCGTCGGCACGAAGTTACGGAAAATCAATTAAAAAACGGAGACGTAACAATACCAAACCAGTGACTTATACCAGGTATTAGTGGATTTTACGAATGTCACGAAGAACTAGAAAAATACTTTAACATGAAAACCACTTCACGAAAACAAGGCGTTCTCAGTTAGGAGGGGAGATAAAAAATAAGGTGTTCTCAGTTAGTAGGGGAGATAAAAAACAAGGTGTTCTCAGTTAGTATGGGAGATAAAAAACAAGGCGTTCTAAGTTAGTAGGGGAGATAAAAAACAAGGTGTTCTCAGTTAGTTGGGGAGATAAAAACAGGGTGTTCTCAGTTTGTAGGGGAGATAAAAACAAGGTGTTCTCAGTTAGTAGGGGAGATAAAAACAAGGCGTTCTCAGTTTGTAGGGGAGATAAAAAACAAGGTGTTCTCAGTTAGTAGGGGAGATAAAAAACAAAGGGTTCTCAGTTAGTATGGGAGATAAAAAAACAAGGTGTTCTCAGTTAGTAGGGAAGATAAAAAATAAGGTGTTATCAGTTAGTAGGGGAGATAAAAATAAACGTAAAATTGAAAAACCGGTAGTTGTTCTCTCCAAATAATTTGTTTGTTTGTTTTAGCGCAAAGTTACACATTAGACAATCTGTCCACCAGGGTGAATTTAACCTCAAATTTTAATGTTGCAAATCCGTAAACTTGCCGTTGACCCACTGGAAGACCTCCAAATAAAGACGTACCCATACTTCTTACGCATTATGACCCCCACCCCCATTCTTGAAATTCTGGGAAAACAAAATATAGATTTTTCTTTTTTAATTTTATGTGCTTTTAACCATTAAAAACTTTTTGGAATTTCATGAATTTTAAAAACCATTAAAAATAAGTGTACACGATATAGTTCGCTTGAAAGTATAGATTAAAATCAGTCTTTTTTTGGGGGGGGGGTGAATTCTGGAATTCTAGTGAAAAACATCACTCTTTAAAAATAAAAAAAATCATAGTCCTCGATATGGTGGCAAACACCACTCTCTTGACTCTTCGTAATGCGCAAGCGTACCACTTAATAATACATGGAGAGTCATTGCCAGGATTCCACAGTAGCCTAGTGTTCACTCACAAGTTCTCAGAACTTCTGAGAAGGAGTACTTGAAATATTCTAGTGACGAATTTTTTGACTTTTATTTATGTGTGACTGATACACTGGTTATAATTAATTTATTTGATAAACATTTCAATTGCCTTCTTTTCACTGTTCATAGTTGTTGTTTCTATTTTATTATATTAGTATCCCATTCCTTTTTTTTTAATAGAGAGACACTTTTGTTTGTTAACAAAACGTGGCCTACCTTGAATATTTATACAAAGAAGTTGACCGCCTCTATTGGCCTGCTATTAAATTTTATTAATTAACGAAGATTGAAAAACTAAAATATGTCTGTTGTTCATAGCTGATATATTTGTATAGGTTGTGTATTTTAAGTTATTTTCACAATACACTGTTTGATAAAGTCTTAAGAACATAACTTGAAAATATATTATTATTTGCTGGAGTTTAATCTTCATTAATACACAAATTAATAAAGCTTTACTTGATTAAAAGTGTGAATCTTGCGCGTATAAGAGGTAACAACCATTATCATCTAGTTTTTATTGTAAACAAATTATTTTAATTACTATTTGACAGTTTTTTATATTAAGTTTGCCTTAATATTTGGATGGGACTCGCCGAAGAGTAATGTTTTACAAAATTATTTGTCCAAATGTTTTTAGGGCGCTCGACTCGCAATCTGCTGGTCGCGGTTTCGAATCACCGTCATACCAAACATG